ATCAATTTCTATTATGTAACTTTTGCTGCTTTCTGTAATAAGAGCTGTCCATGCTTTGCTATACTATGGAGGAAAAGCTAAATCATAGAGATTGAGTTATAAGAATTATCTAATATCGTGCCTGCATTACAATTTTTTTTCGACGAAGTTTCGAATGATTCTAGTTTTGATCGATTTTCAGAAAGTATAAGTATCTCCAAAACTTTTCGAAAACGAAAAAAAAAGTCATGTTTTCCTTTAAGCTATTTTTTTATTTATCGGGGATATTTTTGAAGAATCACGTAACACTCTGTATATCCCACTTTTTTTATCAAATCACACATTTTGGTACGTTGAAAATTCCTCAAAATTTGCGCACCAGAAATTAAAGCATACATTGAGTTTAACAGTATTTTTTCTTCCATAGTTATATTTTTTATATTTGTTTGCCGTGTTTCAAAAATGTTGTATTTCGGTTATAAAACGGAAAGCTTTGAATGCATATTTCTTTATTTACTTAGTTTAATTCACTTTTAATATTATATGGAGTGTCCTTTATGTTTAGGGCTGAATATAAATAATGTTTAACAATCCAGCCTAAAGTGACTGATTTGCATTTAATACTTTAACAGCTACTCAGATTAAATGTGTTTGATTATATATAATGTTGATACAATGTATCCAAAATATGTGGCATAATGTCGATAAAAATTCATATTCAGCATTGCAAAAAGCTCGAACCAGCCAATTTTTAATTAACTTGTCTGGTATAAAAATACTATTTCTCTGTAGGTATAGATAAAACTTTTATTATGAAAAACTAGTTTTGTTTTAACATTAGAAAAACGACGCTTTGCAATGTTTAACTGAAAGCAATACAAATCAAGAATAAATATTTCCACAAATTATCGCTGTATTTCTAATTAAAATGTAACTCTAATCGCAAAAATACTCCACATTAACAAAATAGTCAGAAAGTATCTGACAAAAATGTAAAAATGTCTAATAAGTAAGTATGAATTATTATTCACATTATTCCAGAATGTATGGACGCATTGCATAATGTTTTAAAAGTCTGATTTTAGTTTTTGTTATTTTTTTATCTCTATATTATATTTGAAATAAGCTGTTGCCTTGGAGTTAGAGCTGATTTCATCATTGTCAACGGCAATAACTAATGCTGACTTTAGTTAGTGTCTCGTTTTCTTAGAAGCTACTTGATTATAATAGCAGCTTTAGTTAGGGAATATAGATTTAAGTCATTGTAGATAATTTTCCAGATCCATATCAATATTTTGTGTAAATTATAGCAGACGTTATAAGGATGCCTTTCAAAATAGATGATGATCAATAACTGTACAATCCAGTAACTAAACAAATTATTATGGGAAAATATAATTAAAATTTTATTAACTATATGGAAACCTTTGATGTCCTAGAAACTCCAAAACTTTGAAAGGCATCTTTTCTACCAAGCACTAAAGACAATAATATTTTTAGGGCATATTCCGAATTATGTAAGGATGTAATGTGTAAATAACAACTCAAAAAATGTAGAGGGAAGTTTAAAAAGCAATAAACATTGCAATTGGTTTAAACACCCTGCACATTTTTGCTTCATTTTAGAACCAAGGGATCAGATTTATCATAAAAAAAATTATTGATGATCAATAATTATACATATCGGCTTGATTTAATAATACTCTTAAAAAATTGTGAGATTTAAATCTGATCCAGTCTTGTATTGATAGAGATTTCATGCAACAAATGATAATAAATATTTATAAATGTAGTATAGTAACTTCTTTGTACCGAAACTGCTAGAAACTACTTCGGATTATTGTCGGAAGACAAATTGTAGAATTAAATAATATATGTAAAAATTAAGAAATGTGGAAAGATATGTCAATATTAATGTAGCAACTGGAACAGAGACAATGTTAAAGTGCTATATTTTGAGCCCAATATAACATTTTAATGTACAACTTAGATGAAGATGAGAAAATTAATAAATGATTTTTGTATATAATCTAGTTTACGTATCTGTATATAAGTACATTTTCATAAACGTACTAAATCTGTAAGCAAACTAATTTTGTTTTGAAAGTTTTGTTGTTTTATATACGGAAAAATCCTCTAGGCGCAAAAACGCGTTCGAACTCAGTTAGTTGCAACCTTTTGAAAAAAAATGTTTGAGAAATTAATATTAGTTGAAAAAGTTGACATTTAAGAAGAGTTTACCAACGATTTTCCAAACAAAATATTCTCAGTCAAAAAATTTCCAGTGCATTTAAGGCCGAGTACCCGAATTTTTGGAAGAATATAATTTTAATAAACTCGGACTTTTGTTCGATTTTTTGAAACTTTGGAAATGGAAAGAAATGTTATTTGTAGCAAACTGATTTATTTATAAAAACAGTACAAGATTCATAACAGTTTCAAACTGTTCAATTCACTAACAATAATTCCTATCTACGTACAAATATCCGACTGTACCAAATTTGCCATCAGTTTAACGAAACGTTAAAAAAATATGAAATAATACATTGGAATAAACAATTAATTGTCTTTAATTTAAGGAAGTAAAAATGTACTTGAGTTCAATTTAATAATAATGAAAACAAAATGACTAAAATGGAAAAGCATTAAGTAATATTATATAATGTATTACTTAAATTGATTTAAAATTGTAAAATTTGATCAGTCGATTAAACAAGCTTATTCACCTAACAAGTCAATGAAAAATTATCACCATTAACTTAGTTCAGTTCAATAAATATAAACCTATTTAGAGAATAGATTCAATAAATACAAAATAGTTCAAGTTCAAGTTCGAGCTCTTAAGATATCACAATATCAAAATCTCTAAAATGTGAATTAACAAATTTAATGCACATTATCAAAAAAACATTCGACTTACTTAGGAACTAAATGCAAAAATCAATTGAATGCAAAAAATATTAATGACTCTTCATACTTGGTGAATCAAAAACTTAAAGATTTAATTCTTACAAATCGACACTATTAAAAAATCCAAGTATTATTACCTGCATAAAAATGATAATTCAAGGTTCTATTGTTCACTGTACTGGTGGCTTACCAAAAGTATTTTTAACAGCTTTAAACAATACAATAAAAATAATCTATCTCACTAGTTTAATAAGTCAGTTCTTTAAGCTAAAATATCTTTAAAATGCAAGAGTATTTCCACGCAGACATAAAAAGATAATATTTAAAGCATTTAAAGAAGATAATAAAGATAGGCTGGTATTCTCGTTGTTCAAGATTGATGCGGTATAAAAACACTGTTATTGGTAACTTGTTTGAGAAAACACTGGTTAAAAAGATTGAAAGTTTGAATACCATGAGTATGATGCTGTAATTTTTACTCTGCTAGCAAAAGCCAAGCAACTAACAGTTCAATTAACCGGAAAAAATCAACTATTTGCAACTCGGCTAAATGATTCGATTAAAATATTTATTGCAGGTGGGATGAAAAAATTTGTATTTCAAAATTTACGCTTCGCCACTATACTTGGATTTTTTGAAATTCTAAAATATAAATAGCTATAATAATAAGTACCTACTCTGAAATTCAGGAGTAACTCAGGATCAATAAATACATTTAAACAATCTTTGTTTAGAATAAAATATGTAAATGTAGACTTTTCATGTGTTGAATAATGAGATTATCGATCTTAATGATCACATATTGCACAAACAGATATTTATTTGCTAAAATGAAACTCGATTTAAAAAAATGGTTAGTCTCGATTTACTTATGTTTTACTTAATCTAGATAGTGTTTACCGATTTTTAAACATCAGTTTTTCAAACTCAGCATAAATCCTCATGAGTTCTTCGCCAACATCTTGTCGAATGACCATTCCATCAAGACCATCACAAATTGGCTTATCGAAGTTATATGGATTTACCAGATGCCTTCGCATTAAAAATTTCAAGTGTTTTATCTAATCTGAAGAAGCATTTATTATTAGAAACTTACTTGATTTTATGTCTCGGCAGAGGAGACATATACTTCCAGGCAAGGATGGCGGTTGGTTTAGACGTCCCTATGTAGAGATTTGTAAATTCTGCGATCCCCATAATCACCTGAAGCTCTTTAACGAAGAATACGAAGTACACGATCTTTTCTTTCTGTAACAATAATTTATTTACAATTATGAATAATTTCAAAATGATCGCACCGATTAACCGACAAAACCTGCCATCAATATTTTTTAAGACTTACGCTTGCAAACTTTACTACTTGCTTCTCCGTTTGGGGAGCCAGAACCCATTTCTTGCAACTTTGAGCAATATCAACGTTTCGTTTCTCGTTTGCTTTTATTAAGATAAAAATAGGATTATCGGGATAATCGATAGATTTTTTTGGAAGCATGGCAAAAGGCATTGCGTTCGCCGATAACCTATTGTGACCAGGAGTGGCGTTGAAATGAGAATTGGTGCTTTGGAATGCATCATTCATTGGCGGTAATTGAAGTTCAAGATACCCATTTGAGTTCCAATTCATTGGTTGAAGCTGCTGCTCATTAGGGCCTGCAAAATCTAAAATATTCAATGCAATACTAATAATTATTTTCGCACAATGTCTTACTCGGAAATGGGAGAAGATCGGGTTCCAATGCCGTTTCTGCACTAGGCAGTGAAAATGCGTCTCTGCATTCAAAATCTCCCAATTTCTGCTGTTTAACAATTTTGCGACCTGCTAAATCTGGCCGAGGAGTGAAACAGTGTGCATCGTTAAAGCCATTTAGCTCGAAGTCTGAAAATATACAATTTACTACAGCTCCATTTAAATCGCAATAAAAAGTGAAAATGGGAAAAAGTCGAACATGCATAGAATAGGGGTAAGTGTCACAAATAATGTTAAGGTGGAAATGTTTTTATGTGCATAAGCTGAAAACGTATTTTTTATTGTTCATGTGTTAGGCAACATGTAATTTACCAAAATGGTTAAACCATGTTCTAGTGCAGAACACAAGGTAGCAGATAATGTTGATTAATTGAGCCCCTGAGTATCTTGTTATTTGGTTAGTTAAAAAGCGGACTGAAAACAAATAGAATTTACATCATATTATAGTTGCTGTTATAATTTCTCCGTGCAAATTGTTTCGAAAAATGCAAACTTGCTTAAATTAGACGTGATGAACCAAATGCAAAAATACATACTTTATACTTGCAGACAAGTTGAGTTTATGTAGATGATCACAAATATTAAGTACAATGAAATAAAACCTACATAACTAACAAACTTTAAAAAAATCCACTTTTAAATCAGACACATTATGGCAAACTTGAAATCCACCACTCAGGACTGTTTTGGTTTCCTTATTTTCTCCTAAATGATCTGAATTATTTA